ATATATATACATACATACATATATATACATATATATATACATACATACATATATATGTATGTATATATATGTATATATATGTATATGTATATACATATATATACACACACGCACATACATGTATATGCACACATAGGTATGTATGTGTTATATTTCTTCTCAGCCATAAGTAGACCTCAGAGAAAAAGACAACAAAATAAAAACAAACCAACGTGTATACACCTCGGAGACTCCCACCTGCCTTACTCTTGAGACAAAGAAACCCAAAAGTTTGCGAAGATATTTTCAAACTGATAATTTACTTACGGCATTTTCACGAGTGAAGTCTTCTGAGTTGTTTCCTCTTTTTCTTTTTTCACTATTGTATTTGATTTTGTTTTTCTCTCTCTCTCTCTTTTCTTTTCTTTTTCTTACATTTCGTAGTCTTCAGTTTGTCCTCCTTTTTCGTCGAAAACTTGGGAGAGATGGAAAGGGGAAGGAGGTAGGGGTGGGGAGGGGGAGGGGGGAGAGGGAGGGGAAGGGTAAAAGGAGGAAGGGGGGGGAGACCAGTGCAAGCAAGGGGAAGGGAGATGGGATGGTGATGGTGGGGAGGAGGAGGGAGGAGCAGGAAGGAAGAAAATTGAAATTGAAACTGAAGTAAAAATAAGTTTATCTGACCATATAACTTTTTTTTTTCCCCAATACGAGTCACTTACAATAAAAATGCACCGAGCGTTTTCGATATCGGCAGAACCTCAAAAAGCTCGACACAAAACATAAAATTAGAGCAAGATTTTTTTTTCACAAACAAAATGACCGAATAATAATTACACAATTACATAAATTTAAGACATATGATATGACATTAAATGTAGGAGATAAGAGATAGAGACGTGGGAGGTAGGGAAGAGGGAGGAAGAAAAAAAAATAGAATGAGAGGAGACAGATAAGGGTGGAAAAAGAAAGAAGAGAAGAGGAGAGACGATGACAAGTGAATGAGGGAGGAAAGTGGGTGATGGAGGAAGGAGGGAGGGAAAGTGGAGATAAATGATGAAGGAGGGAAAGAGGAGGAGAACATGGAGGGAGGGGAAGAGGAGAAAAAATTGAGAGGGGGGGGAGAGGAGGGAAATAGGGAGAGAAGGAAAGAGGGGGAAACGAAGGGGAAGAGATAAATAGGGAGGGAGGGAAAGAGGAGGGAACGAGAGGAGGAGAGAAAGAGGGAGTGAAGGAAAAAGGAGGAAAATTGGGAGTCAGGGAAAAAGGAGGGAAATAGGGAGGGAAGGAAAGAGGAGGGGGCGAGGGGAAGAGAGAAATAGGGAGGGAGGGAAAGAGGAGGGAACGAGGGAAAGTGAGGGGAGGATGGGGGTGGGGGGAGGTTGTTATTGTACTCAAGGGAAGCCTTACAGTTAAGTGGAGCTGAGTTGAAGCCTGCGAAGTGAAGTGTTTAGCAGGAGTACGATAGGTCTGCGTGAATGGGTTGCTGTTGATGGGGGGGGGGGGGGGGTCTTTGTCTCTTTGTTCCTTTTTTTGTATTCTTACGGTTGTTCTATTTTGTCTGCCTTCATTATTTTCTCTTCTTTTTCTCTTCTTTTCCTCCCTTCTCCTTTATCTCTCTCTCTCTCTCTCTCTCTCTCTGTCTCTCTCTCTCCCTCTCCCTCTCCCTCTCTCTGTCTCTCCCTCTCCCTCTCCCCTCCCCTCTCTCTCTCTCTCTCCTCTCCCTCTCTCTCTCTCTCTCTCTCTCTCTCTCTCTCTCTCTCTCTCTCTCTCTCTCTCTCTCTCTCTCTCTCTCTCTCTCTCTCTCTCTCTCTCTCCCCTCTCCCCTCTCCCCCTCTCCCTCCTCTTTATCACCCCATGTAATCCAATTAATACCTTCCATTCTCGCCCCCACTCCACCCCATGCAGTAGCGTTTCCCCTCCCCCCCCTTCCATTTCTTCTCCTTTCTCTCCCTCACTACTTTCCCTTCCTACCACTCTTAACCCCCCCCCCCCCCCCGCCTTGTTCCCTTCTCTAATTCCTCTCTTGCTTTCGCCCATTAATGGTCCTTCAACTTTTCCACCACCATTCCCCCTGCTTTTTTTTCCTCCTCCATTATGCTTTGTCACCTTTCTCTTCCCCATGCCTACGTCCCTTCTCCTCCCCATATTCCCTTCCCACTTCTCCCTTTTACCTCTTGTCGCCTCTTCCCTACATCTCCTTCTCTCCCTCCCGTCATTCCAACTTCCCACCTCTCTCTTTTTCTTCCCTCCTTACCGTAATCTCTTCTCCTCTCCTCTCTCTCATTCTCCCTCCGTTCTCTCTTTTTTTCATTTACTCCATACTCACGCCCTTCGTATGCATCCCCCATTCACCGCTTCCACGTGTTTCCATTCCTCGTGTTCACTCCCGCCACTAACGCCCTCCGTTCTGTCCCCTGCAGGAGCGCTGACGACGGTCTACGCCTCGGTCTTCTGCCTGAGTGAGACTCTGATCTGGAAGGTCCTGGTCGTCTACTGCTTAGTGTCCCTCTGGTGTCTCTACAAG